TTCAAGCCTTGAATCAAATTTTTGCCCAATCAATTGGACAGTTGACCTAGAAATCAGTTGTATTGGGGAAAAAGTCAATTGTGACCAATTTACAGTCAAACCTCATGAATTTTGACCCACATCAATATTATGAACTCATATGAACCATTTGATTAAGTTTGGACCATAATTCCATAAGAAATTTGATCATATCACCAAAAGGGCAAAATGGTCATTTTTAGGGTTTTGACTGTACAAAGGCAATTTCTGACTTTTTGACCTAGCCAATGGAAATTCAAGCTCAACAAAGGATTCAAGGACTCAATGGCATCATCTTTACCTATTCAACAAGTTCAAAAGATCTCAAATGCATGGGATTGACAGATGAATTTTTCAGTCAACTGATCAAAATTTGACTGTATACTGAAAAGTCAAACTTTGACTTTTTGGTCAAAATCAAGTGCCAAGGGTCATATTTCATCAAGATATGTCAAATTATGAAACTTGTTCATCAAGAAACCCAAAATTGCAAATTAGGGTTTGAAATTGAAAATTTTCATAACTTAGAAATTTTCTAAGTTATGAAATTTTCTTAATTTTTCCTAACTTTGCCCCATATTTTCATTATGATGCAAATGGATTCAAACAAAACTTACAACATGAAAGTTGTAGTATTCCACAAAGTTTACAACTTTGATTCATAAAGTTTTCTCAAAAGAATCTTGGATCTCAAGTTATGATTTTTGGAACAAGGGTCCCTAAAACTTTTAACTTAGAGAAATTTTGTCCTAATTTAGGCAGGATTTTGACCCATCTTCTTGGCCATTTTTCACATAGTTCCACTTGGAGTTTCAAGTTGTATTTCAAAGATGTATTATAGTACATGTTGCAAGCTTTCCAAATTGTCCAAGAACTCCTCAAACACATTTGTGGTTAGGGAGGATCGAATGCTTGAAGTTGGCAAAAACTCACTTTGTATCCATGGCCAATACATGTTCATACAAGTTGCAAAATCTGTCCAAACTAGCTTTGTACTTGATTACAGGTCTCTAAACCCTTCAACACTCAAAAATTGAATGCAAACTCATTGGTTTAAGGTTTTATTCTGATCATTAGAGGTTTGCACAATGAATAAATCCACTTATGGCATAAAGGTAGCACTTCTATTTACATAAAGCATGCTTTATGTCAAATTGAATTTCTTGAGCCATACACCAAGCCCTTTGCTGCAAACAAGGCTCCCTAATGTCAGGCAAAGTTCAACCACTTTGAGTAGCTAGAGTACAAGCCAGTACAGCCATAGCATTGTCAACTCTCATTTCTTACTTCAAAACCAAGAAACTTGTCAAAAACAACACAACACTTGAATCTGATATAGCCAAGCTTTGCCAACATTCAAAACAGTTTTCTCACATTACACTAAGCCAGAAATACGAGCTAGCAACCTCTCCAACACCCTTGTACCCAAAAATCACATTTTCTTGCAAAACAGGGCAGGCCCTGCAGAATCACTTCCATCTTCACATCCACTCGTGCGTTTTGCTTGCAACCAGTTCCAACACACTCCATACAACCCACCTAAGTTATCCCAACCATTCTCAAGTCACTGTAACTCCATTTACACACTTCACCATTTTCAAATTCTGAGTTTGCAGGTTGAGTTCTACAAGAAGTTTCAGACTATTTCAAAGCAAGCCAAGCATTGGGAAAGGTCAAAGGAACCTCAAGCAAGCTCAAAAGAACCTCAGGCCTCACTGAAAGTTGCTGCATTGCCATACTCGAGCTTGACTGAAACAGGTATTTCTCAAACTTCTATCTCTCTATTTAGGAATCATTAGACTTAGGTTTGTGAATAAAAAATATAGTCCTCATTGCCCTTGAGCTGTACATATGCATAGAATTCATTTATGTTAACTGAGCTAGGAGTATTTGATGTTTGAACTTTCTGAAAAAACTAGGTCAAGATTTAGGGCCAATGAAATTCTCTCTGGTCTTTGAGAGTTAGATTAAGTTTTTTACATGGTTAAAATCGTGTGATCAAGAGCTATAACTTTCATGTTGCAAGTTTTTGTTTTTGAGCACGTATGCAGGAGATACGGATTTGAACACAGGGCGCGCGCATTCTTTGTCACAAGGGAAGGGATGAAGTGGAAATCGGCTGGGCCTGGCTTTGTCCTGCTTTTTGCACCCATATGCTTGCTTTTTGCACCCCCTAGCCCAATTTCTTGTATTTTTATATTTTTGAATTTTTATTTTTATTTCTGACTTTATTTATTTATTCCCAAATATAATAAATGCTCAAAAATATTTTCATAATTTTTTAACATTTATTTTGCATTTTATTTTTATTTTTCTAACATAAAAAGGATTTTATTTACTTTTATCTTATTTATACAAAACTCAAAAAATATATAAATTATACTTTTATTTTCTATCTCTTTATTTTTATCCATACTAAAAATATTACTCTAAATATAATTTATTTTTTATAAATATTTTATATATATATATATATATATATATATATATATATATATATATATATATATATATATATATATATATATATATATATATATATATATATATATATATATATATATATATATATATATATATATATATATATATATATATATATATATATATATACTTTCATTTTATTAGATATTTTAGCATAAAAATATAAAATATTACACTTTTATTTTTATTATTAAATATACTTAATAAGTACCTTTTTCACCTTTTTTTTACATATAATATTTTATTTTTATCATATATAAATAAAATAATTAACATATTTATTTTCTTAAAGAAAATTAGGGTTTATCCCTTAAACAATAAAATTGATCTTTTTATTTTATTTCTTTATACTTTTTTCACATTGAAAATACTTTACATACATAAACAAATGAAAACTTCTTTTTGCATAATACATTTTACTTAATATTTATTTATTCTGTTTATTTAAATATTGTACATTTAAATATTTATGCATTATAATTCAATTTGGATGTAATAGTAACTAGGATTTATATTTCTTGTCAAATACCCCCATTCAAAATTTTACCCCCATCCCCATAATCATGTTGTAATAGCTTAGAATTTAAATTCTCGCACTTAACGCTTTCAATTATGCCATGATTAGAGAATTAGGGTTTGTATGCAAAAAAATCAAATTAACAAATAGTTTGACCTAAACAAAGACAAAAATGCATGAAAAACAAACACAATGCACACTTGCACCCCTAGGGTTACAATCCACTTGTTGCCTTCAAAAATAGGCCATGGTATGCATGTTGAGAACTTTGGCAAAACAAAAACAAAACAAAAGATCATAGTACCTCGATGACGCTATCTTGGTTGCCTAAACAAAAAATGATCAAGTCCCTCAAGAAAATTGCCAAAGATAATTGACACAATTGCTATCATGGTCTATACGATGACACGCGCCTGTCCCGTTTAACATCCTAACACAAGGTTGTTCACCAAATACAATGGTGAAACAACACTGTTAAAAGGGTTAAAAACATAAGAAAGATCTTTGAGTAAAATAGGGTAGACAACTCTTAGTTACTTGATCAAAAAGCTTGCAAAACATCCTTGCTATTCTTCAAACACACCTCACAACACAATTTCAAAACAACTTTCAAAACATTGAAATATCTTTTCAAAAGACAAAAACACCTTTGTATACATTCAAACAAGAATCATTACAAAGGTTGCCACAACGATGGCCTCTTTTCAAAACATCTTTCAAAACCACACACAAAGCACCATTTCAAACAATTGAAAAGCAAAGCAAGTGATCTAAACAAGTAACTAAGAGCCCATGAAAAACCATGGATGAAAAGGGTGCTAATACCTTCCCTTTTCATAATCTACTCCCCGAACCCAAGAAAACATCTCAAAGGTCTTTCCTGTGCTTTTTGACCTTTCCTTAGGATAAAATAAAAAGTCGGTGGCGACTCTTGCTAAACCGAAACATTTACGAACACAAACGCAAAATCCCAAGTCAGTTCTCCCACTGTATCACATGTCATATTCGACATTATATTTCGAATCAGAGCACAATATAGAAACAGTAAGTATTTGAATTTTGTATTGAAATATGTTCGGAAGAGAATAAGATCTTCTTAAGTAAAGTTGGATTCCGTTCGCCACCAAGGTATTATAGTTTTGTATATTTTCTTTATACAGCTTTATGTGTATATCTTAGTGGAATATACAATCATTTTTTATACTTTTCTAGCGACTTTTGGACGGTCTCTGACCTACCGAAACATGTTTCTCTATCTCGGAATTAATTATTTCGTATTTTATACCTATGTATCGGGGATCTATAGAGTCTATCACGAGTTATCAAAATATGTGACGTTTTCTTATATAATTATCACTATCGAGTATTATGTAATGATAATCATCACTATCGATATATTTCTACCTCTATTTATGGTGACATTTTATATCTTTTATATTTTATTGAGAAAGTAAAGTACTAGATATATAAGAGATAGAGAAATTGGCTAGATATATAATAGATAGAGAAATCTGTATGTGATTTGTAAATTTGGTTCTATCTAATCTTTCCTATTTTTTCGAATAGGAAAGATTTTATACTAAACTAAAAAAAAAGAGAATCTTACTATATGATATATGAATATTCTTGTTTATCAAATAAGTTTTTTATGGATCAAAAAATATTTGAGAAATTATGAATTATTAGAGAAATGAGAAAAAAAAGAGTATTCTAGGTAACCGGTAATTCAAATAATTGAGATCCGTATCTTAAAATTATTCCGATTGTGATTATATGTTATATACTAGAATATCAAAGAAATATAGAATATTCTATATTTCTTTGATATATTAGTATTTATTTGATTATATTATGATATAGTAATTGTGTTATGAAGAGCTAATAGTAAATAGTAAATAGTTAATAACTAGGATCCCGGTAGTTTAGGAAAGAATTCCAAGAAATGCACAATTTGTGTTCGAGAGCCCGCTTAGCTCAGAGGTTAGAGCATTGCATTTGTAATGTGATGGTCATCGGTTCCATGACTAACCAGTAAACAGCTTCCAGTTGGGATAATCTCTTTACCATGACTAACCAGTAAACAGCTTCCAGTTGGGATAATCTCTTTACCATGACTAACCAGTAAACAGCTTCCAACGTTGGAAGCGAACAATCGCCATCCACGTAATAACACAATTTTCACACTAAACATTGTTTTTTCTCTACTTGAGTCAAAGGTTCTAAACCTTGCCTGGTTTTCCTCTTTCACGTTTCTGTAACATAACCTCACAAAATTTCCTCCCTCCATTCTCCTTCAACGCCAAACAATACAAACTCCCTCTGTTAACCTCCATCATCACCGTTCCGTCAACATCCAAATGCGCCTTCTTCGTCAAAACCATTAACTTCATCCGCAACTGATTCCATCTGTCTATCTTCATCAGAACATTAATTTCAACTTCAGCTCTTCCGCCTTCTCCGCCGTTCACATGCGCGCATCACTTCCTCTATCCAGCTTCGTCTTCATCATCGAGACAGTTCCCTGCACCGTTCAAGCTTCATCCATGTTCCGTCCAACACCATTCATCATTGTTCAGACTCCCGCCCTTCATCATGATAGTTCGATTTCCGACACGTTCTCTCCTAACGTTGTCCAAGTAAAAGAAATACAAGAATAGAAGAAGAAGCAGAAATTCGCAAAATCCCCACAACTTCTGGCGTTGAACACCGCGACCCACCGAGACTTCCTCTGACACCGCACTTCCATTCTCGGATCCGATCATCCAGCCCTCACTACCACATCTGTGTCGGCCAAATTCACTCACTGACGCGAAGCCCTCCTTTGCGCAGAAGCACCGACGGTTATCCGAGATCAACGACATCACAACTGCTCCGCCCCGCCTCATCGTGAACGCCAACAAACAGCGACGTACCTCCCTCCAAGGATTAACATCGACCTCCAAGATTTTGTCGCTCCTCCACAACCCCACGCCACCGCCGTACGCTTCAGCACAATAGCTCCGATCATGCTATTTCTGCGACATCCCTCCACACCGACGAAACGCCGCTGAGCCACTCCATGCCACCATCACCAATTTATTAGAGGTTTCTTTATTTTCTTTCTTAATCTTGTTCTGATCTTTGTGCATTTGGATATCTATGATTTTGTTTTAAGATTTTAAAAGAAAAAGGCTTTAAAGATTTTGATCTTGTTGTAAAGAAGAAGATGAGAGTTTAACGTGAAAGAGAGAGGAACAAATGGGTTGTTGTTACTACTCTCTCTTCGTGTGTAAATGGGTATAATAATTTGTTTGTTTTTTTATTAATTAAATCCACGTGTCACTTGTTTATTGGTGGACCAAGTGCTTTGTTGAAAAATCAAGCTAAAATCCTTCCCTTCACAACGTGCAGCGCCTCCCTACTGAATCATAAGCTTTCAAATAGTTTCTTTTTATTTAATTAGGGTCTTAATATGAATTAGGGTTTAGCTTGGACTTTTGGACTTCATTAAACCTCTCAAATGTTTCTACACCCCGGCCCATGTATTTATATAAATCTCTTATTTGTTTAAATTAGTTTTTTGTTTCATCTATTTTATTTTCTATTTGATTTATTTTATCTCAATTCATTTTAGCTTAACTTATTACTACTATATTTATTATTTTAATTAGTTTTAAATTATATTCAATTAGTTAGCTTAATCTAGTTAGTAAAATAATAACATAAATAATCGGCAATTTTTATATAGTCATACATCAAACACTTTCTCAAATTAATTAATTTAATATTTTACAAAGATATTAAAAATCACGCAATTCACCAATGGGCGACACGTGGCCAATATATGATCACGTAATAAGAAAGACTTTATCAGACTCCCGTGATATGTGGCCAATATCTGATCACGTTATGAGGAGACTTTATCATACTTTCCCTCTCTGTTTCCTACCATACTGTTTAATCAAATCTCAAAACAGCTAACCAATAAAAAAATCATTTTTCCTACTAACATAACAAAAAGCTACAAGATTATTTTCGAAAAAGGATTAAGGAGAATTACTTCAAAATTAATTGCGAACTGCGTCTACGATCACTCTTTTACAAAACCCAGACAAGGTTCAATGATAAATTCAAAAGCAATTCTACGCAATCCTATAAAAAACACCAACAAACACTACGAACTACGAATTGGGAATTTGATTCCTCATAAGAGGATAAGTAGGAATATGACTATAATCGTGGCGAGTTCCTCTAATAAAAAATTAAAACCCTATTTTCTAAGTCGTAATTCTAAATCCTAGTATCCTTGTGAACAAGGTAGATGGCGGGTCCCTAACATATTCTCTTCGTCTAAGAACGAGTCAAATAACTTAGAATCTTTGACCAAGTTAGGGTTATCCTTTATATTCACTTCTTAAAGATAAAAATTAAGGGTGACGACTCTCGATTTAAAACTGGTTACAACAGCTGGTGACTCTGTTGGGGATGTTCAACCCTAGGGTTAGAAGTCTTTCTTTGGATTTAGGGTTTTAGGGTTTTTCTATTTCTGTTATTTTCTTTACATTTATTTATTTTAGTTTATTTATATTTTATTTACTTTTCTATCATGCTATATTTATTTGTGATGGGATTTTATTATTTAAAAAATATATATTTTTCAAAACCCTTAGAAAGAACGTTCGTCTATTAGCCAAGGGGATACATCAACCCTATGAGTTTATGTGACAACTTCGCCTAGAGTCGGTGGAATTCCGCGAAAGGAATACGTCTCAAGAGACATCCTCTTAGGGGATAGGAATTTGGAATGAAACCTATGACTATTTGTATAACCCTTAAACCAAAATTGCATTACAAGACCTTTCATGACCTAGAGACGAAAGTTTCGGTCTGCAAAGAGGATCCACTTAAGGAAGGCCCTTATGCCTTTCCCTCTAATGTTATCCATGACACCCTTAAGGAAACCACCTTATGGGGAGGGTAGAATATCCGTAAGCCGAAACTACGAACCTACCAATTAAGGATAACTTTCACATCCCACTATAATCCCTAAACCCACAAGGGTTATCTTTTCGTCCATTAATGTCTTTAGCTCGTAGAGCTCCCGTCTTTTTGATATAACCCCTAGGCAATAGGGACTTTCTTTTAGAAAATCCTAATAGCTGGTCTGCATGGATCTTATTTTGTCTGTCTCCGTCCTTAGAACCTTAGGATCTTGACCTCCATATGAAAATTTCCCATGAAAGACGTCCTCGCTAATGTATGCCATGTGGCCTATATCAGGCCATGTGATTTGGTGACTATTGACCGGCCACCGTGTACTCTCTTCCACGCTATTCCATCAAGTCCAACATTCATCTAAACTGTCCATTGGTCTATCAGAATTCCTAGCTTGTAGGAATTCCCGTCCTTGTGTTACAGTCCCTAGCTTGTAGGGGTTCCTCTTTGTTTTTCATTGCACATAATCCTTAAGGAGTTCCCGTATGTCTCAATGTCTGAGTCAGTGTAGGTCCATAATCCTTAAGGAGTTCCTGTCTGCCTCAATCTCTGAGTCAGTATAGGGTATCCTCTTTTTCATGTCTATCATTAAACCCGTATAGGGTACCCTTATGTTTACTTTCATACTACATCTGCGTCGGATATCCATGAAACTTTTTTTTGCATACCCTTAAAAGCCAAAAAATATTTTTGCATACCCATTCATTCACATACATTCATACATTTACATCTCATGTATTTCCATGTTCGCCCTTATCCAATTATTACCCATATGCTAGCTGATTTCTTAGTACACGCAAACAAACTTAAGAAAGTATGAAATTATGGAAGGAGAATATTAAGCATTGGAGATTCAATGGAGCTTGGTCCTAAAATTCATATTATGGAGAAAAGGCAGCCATTAACCATGACAATTACAGGCCTACACAACGCCTCAAATGCCATTACTACTGGTGATTCCTCTATATCAAGAACAATTTCCCTATCAACATAATTGGTATGCCCAAGAAGAGTCCAGGGTCACCCCCATGCTCTGATAAATCCAAGAACTACGAAGCATCTCCTATAGTCAGTGGATCAACAAAAAACTCATCTCTAAGATCATTAGACTATATCAATTCCAATTTGTAATTTCCAAGTTTTTAAGTTGTATTTGGTGTAAATTTGTTTTTTTATTAAGTAATACTAATAAAATGAGAATGCATGTTTTGAAATGAATCCATTCGTATTCATTCTTCTATCACTTTCCATAAATAATCAACGACTTTCCATTTTCACTCTTCTTTTCTATCTTCCATTGCACATCTTTAACAAACTTCGAGGGAGAATGATGTATACTAGATTAACTGAATAATGCTGGTGTATGCTTTTAATGTAAGACTAAGATGATGATGTAAGGCATTGTTTTAATTCCTAAACAATGGAGAAATAAGGAGTTAATCTGTAGTTAACCCCCTCGAGCCAAAAGTTGGAGTTATTTCTATTTTCTAAAAAAAACCTTAATCTTAACCAGGGGCAAGGTAGATTTCAATTAATTCATGGATTCATTCTAATCCCAGGAGAATAAATCCATATAAGCAAAGGTTTGAGCATATCATGTTCCTCGTGCACATTGAGGAAGCAATCAATGAAAATAAAGTTTACAACATTTTCTTCCTCAGTACATCACTCAAGATCGAGGAAACAATAAAAACGAAGCTTACAACAATTAGCAGGGCAGTCATAAATGTTCAAAGTCAAAGAAAAAATATAAATAAAGCTCACTAAGTCAAGTAAAAATCGGAAAAAAAACTTGATTTAGGCAAAAGTTAGGGCATCTCGATGGACCAAATTCAAAAGAATCAGTCTATGAAAAAATAAGGGATTGGAAATAAATAAATTGGAGAACAATATTGTGACTTCCACCTCAAGAATCATCAAGGCTTCTCATCAATGCTTGAATCCTATCAATTTTTTTCACCAGTCTTTACCAATGCTTATCATCATCACCACGACTATGAAAATTCTCTTGCAAACTTAATACATATGTTGCATTAATTAGATTTAGGATTGGAGAACATCAAGGAGAATGGTGTGGGCTAAGTAAATTTTGAGATTTATATCCTTTGTTTCTTAAAACCACGAATCATGGTCACATTACAACCTTCAAAAGTCCTAATTGAATCAAGGTTAACTATGAAAGCATACTTGGAAAAATTTGTGTTAAACTGACTCATATGTTTGTTAAAATTATTTCTAACCACTTCGCCTCTTTGAATTTCCATATTTATTCATCCATTTCTATTCAAACATCGATTTCAAAACTTGCATGTGCATTACTAAGAACAACTTTTCAAAACGTACACTTTTTTATACGAATCAATACTTACCATCAAGGAGATCTCAAAAATTGGTTTAATCAAAAGCGATCCTTTCCTAGAAGCTCCTAACTAGGGGAAAAGCGTATAAAGAATAACCCTATAATCACAAGTAAGACTAATGATCTTAGGGGCATATCATATAAAAATCCTATTGACTAGGGGTGATCATTCTAAGATTCAATTAATTGGGGTTACCTTTCAAAAACACTGTTCAATCAGGGGCATATCTTTCAAAGGGGTATTCCTTAATTAATCTTTATATCACAAATGGGTATGACTCGGTTTCCTCCTTTTAACAAACTTCTCAAGGCCTTGATAGTCATGGGCAACCTTCCAAGATTCATATCTTGGGGCAGTGCATATCAATTTCATCCTACAGCATGTAGGGTCCAAGTTCCTTCTTAAATAACTTTAAGAACAAAACTTTTCAAGCTTCAAATACTTAGGGAAATCCATATCAGGTTTGCGTAACGTCATGGTGAGATCCAAACTCTTTCCAAGGGTACTTCCCCCAGATCCTAGAGATTGGGGGCACATATTTCAAAAATACA